AGCCAAAACAAAACCACGCCTTGGCCCCTGCGTTTTGCATTTCCACAAGTTTGCACAGGCTGCCTCAGAGGGGCCTCAGGGAACACTCTACCAGGAAGTGCACTTGTGGCTAAAATCCTACACATTTTTGTTGGCCTGCCTTTTTTTTTTTTTGGCATTATCTGATGCTACATGCACAGAGAAGCCCAGATTCTGAAGGGTGCTGATGGGGGTTGGAGGGTGGGGATGAATCATAGGAAGTAGAAATCAGAAGCAAAATGGCTCATCTGAGAAGAATTCCTTTGGAAGGTTAATCTCGGCTCCAGTTGACTGTCAATGTGCTGCTTGAATGGATGCATAGGGATTTATCTGGCCCTGAGAATCCGCCAAGAGGAATCAAAGGCAGACACATCCGTAACCTGGAGAAAGTGGGATTCCCAGGGCCACGGAGTCACTGCCATTAAAGCAGTCTCTGGCCCAGGCAGACTCAGAGTTTCCCTTCACACCCTCTTTAAATACAGTGACAGTTTTACTTCTGGTGCCTCCTCAGCAGCCACAGAGTCCCAGCTGGGAGCAAGACATGCTGGCTAAGAAGAAAAATGAACTCCAGGATCAAGTGTTCGAGCCCAACTTTGTCTTGGAGCTACAGTATCAGCAGCCACAGAACACTTCAGAGATATGGGCTGGCACTTAACATTTCTTGTGCACAAAGTTGAACCAAAGATTTGGGGAAGATTTGCTAGGTTTGTGTGAAAAGAAGCTGGCTGGCTTGGAGTGTTCTAGCGGGTAAGACAAGCTCAGGAATTTCTCCAACTATTTAAAAGCTAAGTCAGCCTCTGTCTGGGATGGATTCTTTCTTGTTTGTTTATTTCTGAGGCAGGTTCTCATGTAGCCCAACCTGGTCTCAATCTCCCTATGTAGGGATTGTAGTATGTATTACCACACAGGGCTTTTTTTTTTTTTTTTTTTTTTTTTTTTTTTTTTTTGGAGACAGAGTTTCTCTGTGTAATAGCCCTAGCTTTCCTGGAATTCACTTTGCCTGCCTCTGCCTCCCAAGTGCTAGGATTAAGGTGTGCCACCATTGCCTGGCACCACACAATGTTTCATGTGGTACTGGGGATCAAACCCAGGGCTTGCACATGCCAGGTAAGCACTCTACCAATTGAGCTATATTCCCGGCCCTTTTCTTTGTTTTTAAACCACATGCTTCTCCAACCGAAAGCTGATTCATTCCATGGAGTCTGATTTCATAGAGAGAACCAAATAAATGTCTTATCTTTCAGGAAAACTGCACCAAGTCCATGACACTTACTGGAGGACCTGCAAAACACAAGCAGAAGAGCCACTGTCAGCGTTGAAGGGTTCCCTCCCTATCCTCCGCACAGCCCTGGCCATTCCCTACCTCATCAACTCAAGGTTTCAGTGGGGTCACAGTATTGCTCATAAGGGCCTTGCCAACGAGGGTCAGCCACAGAACAAAGAAGAGATACTTTCATCCCTGGAGGAGCCTGGGTGGCCGTATGGGAGGCAGTGATGGGGTCATATGTTCATTGCATGAGGCTGGTTGGCACACATTCATGTTACATTCTAGAAAACTAAATATGATTAAATCTTGCTCATCCAATGAGCAGGTTTTTGGGTTTTACCAGGGAGGAGAGAGGTAAAGAGGAAAAAGCATTTTGGGTAGAGGGAAGAGGGGGGGTGAAGGCATGTGATAGGGTCACCACAGGCCAACTCTGGGGCTGGATGTGCACAAAGAGATTGAAGGAACAGTCTAGAAATTATGGTAGTGTCTATGACGAGTCTTGCCCACAGAAGGTAACTGATGCTGACTCTGGAGTCTGAACATGTATGTGCATGCTCACTCACATGCACACCTACACTCAAGTACACACACATACACAAACACACAATACTTGAAAAAAATTGTGCCTATATTGAACAGGCTGTTGTCATTATTCTCTAAGTATAGAAACACTTTGCATCTCATTTACATTGTCTCAGGCACTTTGAGATGATTTAATGTATCTGTAAGGATGTGTGTAGGTTATATGCAAATATAAAGTCATTTTACATAAGGGACTTCAGTGTTGGTGGGTCCCATGGGTGGAAAGGATGGCTAGAGTCAGTTAAGGGGCAGGGCATCTGGAAGATGGTGTCTCAATTCCCCAAAGAAATGTACCTCCCACAAACACATGCTTGCACCAAACCTGCAACTCCTGTTCCCATCACACCTCAGACCATACCCCATAGGATGAGGCAGCTCTTGACAATCATGGGAATAAGGAGAATGTATGTCTGCAAGGCTGATCGTGAGCTGGGAGCCTTGTGGGACCCAGCAGTGGGGAAAAGTGTAAAGAGCCCTGCCTAGCAGAGTATTCCTTCAACAGACACTTAGAAAAACAAAACAAAAAACAAATGAATAAATAAAAAATAGGGGGCCTATCCTGGCTTGGCTTGCTCAGGAAGGGGGCTCAACTGGTTCTTCAGGGGGCC